CATTATTTTAAAAGAGGTGAAAGTCAGTGCTGACATTCAATTGGTGGGTCCTCTGCCCACCAATACATGTATCATGACACATGTACACATGTGCTCCCCCCCATAAATATGATACACATGAATGAAGATTTTCCAAAAGAGTTTAAAAAGTTATATAATTTTCTCTCATTTTCTTTGAAGAAGTTGGAGCACTAAGGATAATACAGCTAGTAAGAACTGGCTAGCCTATTTGTAATTTCATGATTGAGGTTGCTATACTGCAGCTAAAATATGTTTATATACATATAAGAAAATATATATACAGTTTTTGGTCTAAACATTGTAAACTAGACATTCTCTAATTAATGTGTTTATAACTGAATTTCAAGACCAAGCAATCTTCTAAATAGGACTTTAAAATCTCAGAGGACGAAATGCCAGCTATGAGTTAATGTCCATACAAACACACCACAAAGCCAGGCTCTGCTGCACAGGACTTCTCTAAGCCTACTTCAGTTATTACTGTAGACTGTGGAAAAGCCTGAGCAGACTTCTGCAGATAATTAGACTGACATTCCTACTTCATTACTTTTAATGGAATTGAATTAGTGGTACTCATACCAGCAAATATGAACACTACATTTGGAAGGAAGACATGTCACATGTTCTTATTCTCAACTGGATGGACAGCTTTTGGCAAGAGGTCACTTTATAGCATGAAGGGGATTTCTCTCAGCCAAGGACTGAGCTTTAATTAAAATGAGATAAATTTTAAAATGGTTTCTGATGATCCCCTCCATGTAGCTTCACTGTAAGTGAAATGGTCAGATAACAGAATGTAGTTACATAATACAGTTGTGTGTACAAATTTGTAATTCACATGAATGAATATCTAGGCTTTACTTGCCAGTTGATTCATCTCAAAGGACAAGTTAAACATTCAGTGATGGTCAGAGATAGATAATAAACGGTGTAAATAGACAGATCATAGAGAGATAACCAATAAATTAAAAGATAATGCCCTGTCTTAATTAGAGTTTCTATTACTGTGATGAAACACCATTCAGATTTGTTTACTGAAACACACTTCTTTCCCCTGGGCTGATTCCACTTCCCTTTAGCAGCTCTCTTTTGTAAGTATCCCACAACTCGGACTCTGGCATCTCTAACATCTTGGGTTCTCCAAGACAATCCAGGCTTCAACTTCACAGCTTCACACAATGGCCTCTCTACCGGACTTTCAGAGACACCCCTGACACAAGTCTAGCCTCAGTGTCCTTCTTTATGTGGGAAGGTAAATTCTATAATCCATTTCTTCTGTCTTTAACTCTATAGTCAGAACTACGTGGCAGAAGCATCCAAGTTTTGCTGCTTGCTGGGGCTGGGACATGACCCTCTTGTTTAATTCCATCTTCACCAGTTTCCTGTTTCCTTTCACTACCTAAACTTGACTTTGTTTGACAATTGCTCTTCAGACCAGACTGACCTCAAACTCAAGAGATTCACCAGCCTCTGCCTTCCCAGTGCTGGGATTAAAGGTGTGCACCACCACACCCAGCTCTAAGCTTTTCTTTAGTTCTTTTTCACAACTTTGAAATTTAGCTGGATGGGATCTTGCCCTGAGGTCACCACTCCCTATATTCTATTTCTCAATCTGTTTATCTCCTTGAAAATATGATTTAGCTCCATTCCACTTCCCGCTGCTCTTTTTCTCCTTAAAATTTACATTTTGTAATTTATCCTGCCCATCTTGCTCCTCTTCATTATAAATCTTCATTAGAGTGACCACTAATATCCACATAACAAAGTCTATACTTGGCTGTTTAAAGATTTCTTCTGCCAGTGGAATTAATCGGAAACTCTTCACTTCAGCCTTGGGCAGACTCTTTGAACAAGGACAAAATACAGCCACTTCCTTCTCCAAACTATCGCAAGAACGATCCCTAGGCAACATTCTAAAATTTTTCTTCTTGAGTGAGCTCCAGACAGTTTAAATAACTCTTAGCACCACTGTCTTCCATGCTCCCACGAGCATGGTCAATGAAGTGGCGCTTAAAGCATTCCAGTGTTTTCAGAAAGTACCAAAGCCCAAATTCCTCCGAATAAAAACGTGGTCAGTTCTATCACAGCAATATCCAAGCCTCGGGCACCAAATTCTGTCATAGATTTTTATTGCTGTGAAAAGACACCATGAACATGCCAAGTTTTATAAAGAAAAGCATTTAATTGAAGGTGATTTGCTTAGAGTTTCAGAGAGTTCGTCCATTACCATCAGGATGAGGAGGATGGTGGCATGCAGGCTGATGTGGAGCTGGAACTGAGAGTCCTACATTATGACTCAAAGGCAATAGAAAGTTGTTTATCACACTGAGTGAAGGTTGAGCAAAGAAACCTCAAAGCCCGCCCCCACAGTGACACACCTCCTCCAACAAGGCTGATAGTGCCTCTCCCTTTTGGGGCTATTTTCTTTCAAACCACCACAATCACTGAAACAAGTCAGGAGCAGAACTCAAACAGGGCAAGATCCTGGAGGCAAGAGTTGATACAGGTCAGAGGTTGATGGGGCACTACTTACTGGCTTGCTTCCCCAGGATTGCTCAGTCTGCTTTCTTATAGAATCCAGTACCACCAGCCAAAGGATGGCACCACCCACTGTCGGATGGGCCCTTCCCTGTTGATGACTAATTGAGAAAATGCCTTACAGCAGGGTCTCATGGAGGCATTTCCTCAACTGAGGTTCTTTCTTCTCTGATGACTCTAGTTTGTGTCAACTTGACACACAAAATCAGCCAGTATAGGATATAAATATTTTATCAAAGTTTGCACTTGTATTTTGTGAGTAATATTAAGTAATATTTTTTTTTCAGGAAACAAAATTCAGTTATGTAAACTACAGACAGAACTTGGGAGGCTGAGGCAGGAAAGTAAGTTTACTTCACAAGTTCAAAACTAGTCTATGTATAATTGATTGAGACCATGAGGGAGGAAAAATGATAAAATTAAACATGTAAGGGTAACATTCAGCCCTTCCACTTAATACTTTCCTCATGGGCCTCCATCCAGCCTGTTTTCTGTTCCAGAACTCCTTTATGTCATTTAAATTATTTCTTTAGATGGCTATAAATAAAGATTTGGTAACATCGTTATTCTCTTACTCATAGAACTCTTAGTGCATGTGATTCCCGCTGAGAGACTTTTCCTAACTATTGACCCTTACATGTTATGTATATATATTTAGCATAAAATCTATCACACTTCACAAAAATCTGTAAAATATATCATTTACATAATCATTATAAAAACAAGCCCACATTTTTAAAAGTTAAGGATTAGGGACTTTCCAGTGACTGGTAAGCCCATTGTGTCCTTCTTGCTTTCATCCCTTCCTTGCAACATTAATCCCTTTTACAGATTTCTCATTCCTTAAAAGTATTTTGTACCTAGTTTTGAGTAATTTTTAAGTTTCTTTCTTTTCTTCCTTCCTTTCTTCCTTCCTTCCTTCTTTTTTTTCCCTAGATTCTGTGTTTGTGAAAGCAAATGATACAAGTGTCTACACTTAAACTTGGTTGTTGTAGAGAATCTCTTTTGCCAATCAAAAAAATGTTATACTTTGTACAATGAACTACACATCACTTGGATAATTTCCAGTTTGGGACTGGGAAATCAGTGTTACCCATCTTCATCTATGTTTCCTTTATATGTGTTTGCAAGAATATTTGTTTCTTAACTTTTTGCTGTGTAAGGTTGAATTAATTTCAATTTGATTGAATCTAAACTATTTTCAAAAGTATGAGTTTCTGTGTTTCTCTTTCTCACACATTCAAATGCTGCTATTATGTTTTCTTTTTAAATTTGGGATGAGATCTTACTATATTTATAGTTTGGTCCTGAACTCTATGGAGATAATGTTCCAGTAATCTCCCATGTCAGAATACCTGTAACTGTAGGCACATGATACCACGCTAGACTCTCATTTCTTCTAATCCTCTTTCTGTTTTTCTCATTTCTATTCTTATTCTCTTTCTCATTCTCATTAGTTTGTTTTGTGGATTATTAGTTGAAGATATATTATCTTTGTTTATTCTGTGGAACATTTGTTTATTGATGTAAAGATGTGTTAGGGTCTTTTACGTTGCATTTGTTTAACTCTATGAAGCTGTGTTACTTTGCCTATTTTTTCTTTTCCTTTTTGGTTTTTCTACAGGGTTTTTCAGTAGCCTTTGAGCCTGTCCTGGAACTCACTCTGTAGACCAGGCTGGCCTTGAACAGTCTCTGTCTGAGATTAAAGGCCTGTACCACCACTGCCCAGAAGGCAACTTTGCAAGCCTAAAATACTTGATTAGTCTAATAAAGAGCTGAAGGGCCAGTAGTTAGGTTGGAGAAAAGATAGGAGGGACTGGTAGTCAGAGAGCATAAATAGGAGAAGCAATCTAGGAAGAAAAGATCAGGACTGAGAAAAAGAATAGAGGTCATTGTCATGGGCCTGTCACCCAGCTACACAGCAAGCCAGGGAGGAAGAAGTCAAGAAAGGTATATAAAGTAGAAAAAAGTAATAGCCCAGAGGCAAAAAGTAGATAAAATAATTTAACTTAAGAAAAGCTGGCTAGAGAAAAGACAAGCTAGGGCCAGGCATTCATAAGTAAGAATAAGTTTTTGTGTATTTATTTGGGAGTTGAGTGGTGGACGCCCCAAGAATAAAGAGTGAAAAAACACCTATGAGTTTTAATTATGCCGGCAACAACATCCTACTGATCATAATTTTAGTTTGTGTGGTGGTTTAATAGTTTAATGGGACACATTTTAGAATTCCTGATGGTGATTTGGGCATTCATTCTTATGAAATGCTCATTGTGGTCCTTATTATTGTTTCTAACTTACTACTTCATATTTTAGGACCTGAATTCATATTTATACATGCTGAAGCTGTCATTTCCATTCGATTACTGTTTCATTTAACTTACAGAAAATTTTGAATATACCTTCTGTATTTTAAAATGTTCACTTGACTTATTTTGGTTCAGGGATGCCTCCCAGAAGCCCTCCTGCAGTGCACTGTGCAGAGCCTTCAAGCACCCGGACACAGAACCTATGGACCTGAGGCTGACCCACCACCCATATTATCCTATGGTACCTGGCAGCAAAAATCTGCATACGTGATGGAGAAACCATGATGATAATATTTGAATGGAGAAACGTGTACATTGAAAAATTTCCAATTAAGCTTCCTAGCTGTATGTAACCAGAGGTTTCAGTTCTTTTAATTATTTACTTTTAAATTTTATAAGTACTCTGAGAATTTTGTACAATGTGTTTTGTTCATAGTTCCTCATTTACCCAACACCTTCCAGACCAACTCTCATTTTCTATGCATCCAATATTGCTCTCTCCCCAAGTCCAATTTGTGTTGCGCACACAGTCTTGGGTATATGGCCTTCTAATGGAGTTTGGTGGATTTATTAGTGGTGACTCTCTTAAGGAAAACTGGCTCTCCCTCTCCCAGAAGCTTTTAAGTGCCAATAACTTCTCAGCTAGTGGCGGGACTTCAAGTCTACACCCCCCAGACTTGGATAGGATTTGGTTCGCCTTACTGCTTAATAAGAACACTGCTCTCTCTGGTCAGTTACATAGTCAATGACTCACAGACACAAGTATAAATTTTAAAAGTGTTTTACTCAAGAGGATCAGAACTTCTACATGTTTCCTATTACCAGTTCTTAAATACTATTGAAATAATCATAGAAGTATGTTTGAGTCTCCTGTTTCATGTATTTTGAAATATAGGGGTACACTTCAGCATATCCAATGTCCTCTCACTCCCTGATTATACAGAATATAGATATGTGTATATGTATGTATATATATATGTATATATAATATAATCTCAAACACTAATTGATCAGTATAACATAAGGCATAGTTCACAATCAGAATTGTATCAATAAAAATCTAAAGAATAAGTTCATCATTTGTGACTATTTTCCCTGCAAAGGAAAATTTCAGTGTCGTCAAATTTAACAGCACATATATGAAATATTTTATAGTTTCCCCAAATTAGATAGAAAATGTTTGTAAAAATCATATGATATTGCTATTGACAAATCACAGAGCTGACACTGCTTTGATTTACCAATAAGGAAAGCCAATTTCAATCATGCTGAAATATTGAATTATATTCTCATCTATTGGTCAAAATTATCAAATTGTTATATAAAAGATATTAAGAAATTTACAGGGAGAAATATTTAGAGAAAGTGGTTTAGATGTTTTGGTCAAAGGGCAACTTTAAAACATGTTTATCTTTTCTGTTTATGGTAATTTTCAGTGTTTGGGAACTTCTCATTTATTGTGATTTTTGTTTTCACTATAAATAAATATTGAGTATTTTATCTAATTTGTTACTGATGTTTTTTAGTTTATACTTTTTTTTTGAAAAAGAACCTCAAAAGAAATAAATTCTGGTTCTCTTTTAAACCCTGGAATTTTGTCTATTTCCTCCTATTGGAGGATTATTCATTATGATTTTGCTATTAAATGTGCATAAAATTGGCTTCTCTGTGGAAATGCTTTCACTCCTAGGTCTCAACTCAATTTTTATTACTTGTATAATCATTTTATTCTGTGAAACTTCTTCTTGTAACATTTGACTACTTAAAACATGTCTTAACCATTTTTATTAACCTGGGGAAAATTAAAAATAACATTGTAGTTAGTTGACTACGTGTGTTATAAATACTTTCAAATATACAAATATTTCAAAATATACAATGTTGCAAACCTTTTATAACATCTTTCACTTCGTTTATTTTCATGGTATTTAGTTATATACAAAATAGTGGATTCCACAATATCCCTTTTGTTCATTTTCTACATGAGACAAGACAGAATATTTGTCTTTCTCACAAATACCATCTCCCTCCTGCTCCTTTAGACCCTTTCTTTCCTGTACTTAGTGCCCCTTCTAGTGTCATGCCCACACACATGAATGTGTGGCTATGCTTTTACCTGGGTGCTTATATTTGTCTTTCATTTTGCAGCAGGGACTACTTGTGCATAGTATAAAAAAGTTTCTCTTTAAAATTACATTTTAAAGAATTTTTCTTTCCCTGTGAGAAATATTACTTTTGTCATATGTCCACATATAGGAATATGCTTTTGGATTTTCTGTTTTAAGTATCAATTTCTGCACATTTATGATTGCTGTTTATTAAAGTCCTATACTGTCTTACTTATTATGGCTTAATAATTATTCTATATAGTTGGTCAAGAAATTCCTTTTTCCTTTCATTCTATTACTCTTTACTTTTGTATAAAGAATTTTAAAATATCTTGTCATAAATCATAAGAAAACCTATTTTGCATTTGAAATTATGAAGGATGTGACAATAATCAGGAAATATCCTATTTTCAAATATATTCTTTGTAGCCACAAGCATGGGCCATAATTCGAAATATTCATGTAAAGATCAGCCCATAGTTACTATTTCTTCAACTCAATTTGACATTATATATTTGCTCTTGGATTTAATACTGGAAATTAATCCAAACAGCATAGTTGCTTATGGATAAAGACTTATTAATGCACTTGAAGTTTGTATTGTAGTTACGCCGAGTAATTATGGGATATGATATCTGATATTTTGTTGATATTAATATTTCTGTCATAGCTTTACAACACCTGTGTTACTGAAAAGATGTGTTTGATCTAATGTATGGATTCTGTTTAAGAATTAAGGTAGATGGACTTTTTACCTACTGAGAGACTTCATTAGTGGATGTTTACAGGAAGCATATTTGGCTAGAATCCAAACCTTGAGTTTTTTCATGGTGCAGCTTATTTGTAAATATTGTGCTTAATCAGGATAAAGTTTTAAGTAGCTAAAAATAAAAAAGATACCTTGAATAATAATTAAGACACCAATGTATTTTTTTCAGGTTGGGGAATCAAGCTCAGGACCTCACGCGTGCCAGAGCAGTGCCCTAACCACTGATGGACATTTCCAGCCCAAGCATTTTCAATTCTCCTATCTAAAGAAAACATTATCCTAGCACTTCTGCTACCAGTCAATATGTTCAGTTATGTGCACATGTGTGTGTATGGTATCTGCATTGTGTGAATGTGTATGTGTATACCCTCACCGATGTGTGCACATGTGGAGTCCAGCGGTCTACCTTGTATATTCATCTCTGTAACTCCACAACTCGTCTTTGAGATCTCAAGGAAACCTGGAGCCTGTCACTTGGGCTGGACAGACTCACTCACCTTTGTGCTCTCCGGAACTATTAGCACGTCGCACCCCCAGGGCTGGGTAGTGGAGACACATTACCATGCCTAACTTTTACATGTGTATTGAAGATATGAATGTAGTAGGCTCATGTGCTTGTACAACAGACATTTTACCCATTGAGTCATCTCTGAAGTCCCACAACATATATTTAGTGTAAAAAATTTCCTTCTTATAATGAACCGATGAGAAGAGTTTCCACTTTCTCCAAAAATATCAAAAAATATCTAAAAGACAGCTTAGCTTATGGGTACACTGTATTCATTTAACACATCATTTTATTGATTTTCATGTCACTGTATATGTTTCTAAATTTAACAATTGTTATCTTCATTCATTTAGAGCCAAATTAAAACATAACCGATATACCAAAGCTAAATTTGAGGTAAGATTTTACAACGATGTGCACACACATATATAATGCATTATTATATAAACACTCATGAATGCTCAGTGGTGTAGCATCTTAGCACTTCATTTATAAAATCTGTTATTATGAATCTCACATTCATGTGCTTTTAGCTCTACAGAGATAAAGTACACTACACTTTAGAATATAAACTCTTAAAGTGTGTGAAATAGAAATCCACTTAGCTCAAACAAAAAGGTAATTTATTAGGGTAGCAATATTCCCAAACCTTAGGAACTGAATTGGCATGCAGCATACCAGAGGACCTGTTAGGTTCCTCTCTTGGAGCCCCAAGTCTACTTTTCTCCATATGACGTGAGTTGCTTTTCTCCTTCACTGTAGCTCAGGATTTCTTTTTCTCAGTCTCATAGGTCGAAAATCAGCTCACATGCTCTGCAATTGGTGTAAAGTTATGAGGTCAGTGTGAAATACTGAATTAGGTAACTTCCCAATACTTAATTTGGTCGACCAAGTCTTATAGTTGCATTATGGGTGATGGTGAGCTGTGAATACAGTGCCTGGTTTGCTGCCAGTGTTGAAGGGGAAGCAAAGAATGTTTTGAGGAAAGAGAGCCTATGTGACAATTTACCAAGTATGAGCTGGACTGACAGCTGCTGCATGCTTTAAATTCTTGCTATCCAAACTTTGGCCAACGGAACAAAATGCATATGTGTTACCAAAAGCCCTTAAGAGACTTAGAAGCTCAAACTTTGTCCTTCTGAATCAGGATCTGTATTTATCAATATTCTCAGGTGATTTGTATTCACATCAAACCTTAAAACCATGGTTCTTTGTTCAAGAGCTATGACTCTGTGAATAGTACATCTTGCTTTCAACTACAATGAACTTTTTTTTTTCTGACTTAATCTTTTACTTTCTGGCAGAAAGCCTGTGAAGTATTTTAAGAATCTATTTTTACACCAGGTGCTGGTGGTGCACACCTTTAATTCCAGAACTCAGGAGGCAGAGTCAGGCAGATCTCTGACTTCAAAGACAATTTGGTCTACAGAGCAAGTTCCAGGACAGAGAGGGCTACACAGAAAACCCTGCTTCAAAACAAACAAATGAACAATCAAAACTGGTAAAGAAAACAAAAATGAACAACAAATCAGAATGAAGTTTACAACTTTTCAATAAAAATAGAATCTTGAAAATGAATGTTCTTTAGTGAAAACATGAAATAATTCCACTTGAAAGCCCTGATCACTGTTTAAATCAGTTTCTACTTTATGTGTAGAGGTTAGCATATGTCCTCTGACAATGTATTTATAGCATCTTTGAATTTTACTACTATGACATTTGGATTAATTAGCAAAATAGCTAAATGGCTGACTATGATTGAATCAAGTAATGAAGGTTTCTTTGATGACAATATTTAAAATAGAGGCCTTCTTGACTCTCAGGCACAGGTGCTTTTAATTTCCCATGTAATAACATCTTAATTAAGTGTTACAGGTGACTATTATATGGCAGAATCTTTTCTGATCTCTCTATATACAGGTTTCATAATTTGTATTTTGTCCCATGTAGATTATAATCTACCATAACTGATCTTTTACAGGCTGCGTTGTTTTCAATCAGGTTACTTTATTGCTGCTTGTCTTAATCTTTGTGTTATATATTTTGATGGTAAAATTTGGAATATAGAATGGCACTAAATTGCCGGGCGGTGGTGGCATACCTCTTTAATCCCAGCATTTGGGAGGCAGAGGCAGGCAGATCACTGTGAGTTCGAGGCTAGCCGGGTCTACAAGAGCTAGTTCAAGAACAGGCATCAAAGCTACAGAGAAATTTTTTCTCAAAAAAAATCAAAAAAAAAAAAAAAGAATGGCACTAAATTGGACTCAAATTCTGCTGTAATCTGTTACCAGTTACACAAGCATGAAACACATAGGTAAAATTCATAAGGCTCAATTCCTTGTCTACAAAAAACAATAATGATTAATTAATACCATTCTCTATAGAATAGTGATGGCTAAGACAGACATCATATAGATCCTGGGGTAGGAGAAAATTCAACAGGCTTAGTTTTTACAGCTATTTACTTGGGTAAGTGTTCATTTTTAAAATTTTATTTGATTCATGATAGTGTTTTTCATGTTGTTTTGGAAACAGTTTTACTTTATGAACTACTTGAAAAAAGAAAAAGAAATTTTTATTTTCATATTTGTAGATTCAGACCACTTCTAACTGAGCTAATGTAGCTCCTTTACATTGGATCTTTGTTGCTATTATGTTTCTCTTTAAATAGCAACTCGGAAATTGTGTGTGTTGGCTCCTTTGTTTCCTAAAACCATTTGAAGTTTTTCCCATGATCCTGTGGGGTGACTTCATCTAATCCTGTGCCATTATACTAACACAATGTCACAAACAGGTAAGCAGATTGAAGCCAGCATGTAACGCAGTGTCAATTATATTTATGAGTGTTTTGCTGAACTTCCTTCCTTAAAGAAAATTCTAGATTCTTGATTCAATATTAGAATTCCCACAGATAATCCACGCAACAGTTTTGAGGTCAGATGCTCTAGGTTAGAAAGTTTTGTGGTAAATTCATGCTTTTCAATAATCATAAAAATGGTTCTTGATCTCATTAACTTTGTGAATATTCTTTAATGCCATCACTTTGTTTGGAGTTCTTTGTAATAGTGTGATTCTTATATTTTAATATCTTGTTTTTGTCTTGTATATCATGTATTTCCTCGGATGACAATCCAGTGTCGGTACAGCTCCCACAGAAGCCCATTGAATTATTCTCTTTTAGAGACTTTTCAGGCCATAAATAAACTTAGTCTCCTTTTGTCAAGTTTAGAATAAAATGAAAATAGCTACTGAGTGTAGTCAAAGGGAACAGTCAAGCAATAGTCACAAATGATTCTCTCATAAGTGGTTAAAGTTAAACACAAAGCTAGGAATGGTTTATTAATAATCTATCTCATGTTACACTAGCTCATTCCATAAGTGGGGTATCTGAACAATTCCAGAGAACACAGCAAGGCTATTCTCCAGTCTCTCACCACTGGCAGAGGACCGCTTGGGTGGGTCCAGTTCCTGTGTCAGACAGAAGCAAGCAGTGGACAAGAGACTTATATGCAGCTTGTTTTTTTCTTCTAGAAGCACCAGGAAAATTCTATCCCTATTACCAAAGTTGAGCTTCCTCCCTTTTGTTTTCTTTAAATTAACTCAGTGAACTGCCACCCAATTTAAAAATTACTGTGAGACCCAAGGCATGCTAAGGACAAGTAAGCAATATTATTTTAATTTCCTATGTAGATTTAAATCTAAAGATTTGATCAACTGGTATGTCTTAAATGTCAAATTATATTTAATGTAAGATTATGTAAGGGTTTACGAAACCCTCAACAATAAAATGTACTCTAATCTTTAGAAATGCAATTTTAAATTTTTTCTGTTTTGACATATTCACTTCCTCCCCAACTCCTCAAAGATCAACCCCCACTTCCCACTCACCCAACCTTGTGTGTTTCTTTTTACTTTCAATGCGTAAAGTGGTATGAACTTCTCTTTAACCACTTGCAATGCAAAACAGCGTTCTTTTCTCAAACCTCTAACTTAACATATTGTTTTTTGCTCAAATTTCTAATTTTTTAATAATTTCAATGTGGCAGGAAACTCATTTGGGCAGGTTCCAGGGCAAAGCATTGATTATAATGCAATTATGTAGATAAAAATCCGGAGTATCAAATTTAGAATATGTTTATAAACTTTTTTCCCCCATTGGACCATCTCAATTTATTTTGATTCCTGCGGTTTCAACCTCCATTAGGCTGATGACATCAGCGTAAGGAGCTAATCTCTTCCCATGACAGGGTGCACATGGAATGCATAGGAAACCACGCAGTCAGGATATATTTGACGAAGCTTTAGGCCCTTAAGATTTATGTGTTAGCAAAGAAACTTGAGTCCAGTGTCTTTTTAAAAGCTTTTTTCTCTTGTCTTGTTTTCTACTTTTGTATTTTTTTCCTTGTAACCTATGAACTTCTTTTGAGGCTCTTTTTAGTTTTTAAACATAAAGAGTAAGTTGTAACTACTGGCTTGTACCATCATAGCATAATACCATTGATTTGCAGCATGGTACGAATTTTAGGACTATTGATTCTGTAATATGGGAATGAATGCACAGAACTCTTTACATCTTGGCTGTAATTTTAAG